TTTCTAGCCTTTGTTTTTATTTTTGTCTTGAAAGTGCCTTGTGTTGTAGAGCTAAGTTAGGTAGAACTGAAATAAACTTTAAAAAAAATTTGGGCTAACTCAGAAGCCATGCATGGGTGCTCTACAATAGCTTGCTGAATTGACGAATTCCCACTGAGGCTGCCGGAGGACTCCTCTGCCTGCAGATTAGCTGGGCAACTGGGCCACTTACTTCCCCGGGCATATCTCTCCCACTTGTGAAATGGGAGTGGCAGTGGGCAGGCAGGACAGACTCCAGTTCTGAGACTGCCACCATCTCTAAGATCTGATTGTAGAAAGAAATTTTTGTTCCTATATAACTTTGCCCCACTTGGGTCCTAATACTTGACAGCAACATCTCAGGGATCCAAGGCCAAAGCTGCTTTCTTGCTCCTTAAAGTGACTGGGAATAAAAATGCTGCTCAGAAGGGGTGGAGGTTAAAGTCTTTTACACACAGACACACACACACACAACCTCTTCCAAATTTCAGTTTATATTGCCATTGTGCAGACAGTGAAATGTTTCTTTTCTAGTCTTAAATATGGAGAATCTGACAATTGCAAGTCAAGGTGTCAAAACCTTCACATGGAACTATTACCTAAATTAAAAATTTTGTGCTCAACAATGTCTATTCTGATGGACTTTAATAGAAAAATGTAAGCATAAATAAAATATAAAATGGAGGAGGAAACTGGAGCTAAAAACTTTTACTTGCTTATAAAGTGTGAAAACCAATGCTGTAAGGAAAGGCAATGTTGCCTGAGCTCCCAAGATGAGGCTGGGGTAGTTCTGATCCTGATAAAAAAAAAAGTGTGTTCCTGAAAAGAGATCGCCTCCCTAGGTCATGTGGACAGGTGTGGCTGTGGGAGGAACCCAAGGTTGGAGTTGATTCCAGAAGCTGGGAGAAACCAAGGGGCTTACTGGTATAGTGCTTCTTTTAAGTGCAAGATGCTTACAGAAAACTGAATCATCATGTTATGAGAACCTGATTGCCATCAGCATCTTATATCCCTTTGATTAGATCAAGGATAAAGGGCTGAAGGGCTTTTGCTTTTGTCCATGAAGAATTAAGTGCTGTGGGAATTATCTTCCTGCTGTAGTAAATACGTGGAAAAGTGGACGTCATAGATGAAACAACAGTTTTCAGATATCAGGTAACAGGCAGCACAGAATTTTTGTCCCTGAAGGAAGGGAAACAAGGTCCACAACTTGTCCCAGTGTCCTGCCACGAGGCACTATCCCGGCCACAGCTCGGGAAGGGGAAACTGTATAGACTCCATTGGTGCAGGAGAGATCAAAGTTCAGAGAGGCCACGATGGCTAGAATTTGTAAGGCAGAGGCCTGGACAGTAGGAACTTCACAGAGACAGAGCTACAGGGACCTGCAGAGGGACCCCCTTAGCCTTGGCTGGAGCACAAACCTGCACGTGCAGGGGAGGGAACTCCTCAAGGCCAGCAAAGAAACACCTGGAGTTGAGGCAGGGCTGTGAATAGTTTCCAATGTTCAGAATGGAAAGACCTCATAATATACCAGCATTGGGTGGAATTTCCAGGATAAATCCTTAATATCAACAGGGCAAGCTTAGCCCTAAACTAAAGGTGCATTAGACCCCCCTAGGAAAGTTTATAAACAACACCTGAAAGGATCCGACTGATCACAAGCAACTGGAACTGTGGGTAAGAACAGTCCACGGCTATTTAAAGGAAGACAACAAAATCCGCCAACCCAAAACGTAAATTTTACAATGTTTGGCATCCGATAAAAATCAGACATGCAAAAAAGCAGAGAAATAAGATCCACCCAAAAGTAGATAAGAAACAGCCCCAGGAATGTCAAACATGATGGGATACTGTAACAGACAAGGATCTTAAACTACTACTCTGAGTCTTAAAATATGCTCAGATATATGAAGAAGAGGCCAAGTACACGGGGCCTATAAGCCAAATTTGGCCCTCTGCCTGTGTTTGTAAATAAAGCTTTACTGGAACACAGCCAAGCTCATTCATTTCTGTATTGTCTATGGCAGCTTCCATGCTAAAATGGCAAAACGGAGTAGTGATAAAGATTGCAAAGGGCTGCAAAGCCTAAGATATTTATTTTCTGAGTCTTTACACCACACGTTTGCTGACCCGATGTAAAGGAAAACATGAACATGAGGGAAATGAAACGTGTGTGTGTGTGTCCCAAATAAAACTTCTAAGGATGGGACATATAGTATTTTTTTTAAAGATTTTATTTATTTATTTGACAGAGAGAGAGAGAGACATTGAGAGAGGGAGCACAAGCAGGAGTGGGAGAGGGAGAAGCAGGCTTCCCGCTGAGCAGGGAACCTGATGCAGGGCTCGATCCCAGGACTCTGGGATCATGACCCGAGTGGAAGGCAGACACTCAACGACTGAGTCACCCAGGCGCCCCACGTGCAGTATTTGGAAAGCATATGGGATGGAATTAACATCTAAGATGAATCTGACCTAATTTGTTTTCAAAGAAGCTCATCATCTGGTGGGATAGGCTGACTTCTTAGATAACAGAGGGGCAGAAAGTGTGTGGCTGGGTTAAAAGAACAGCAGTTTGCAATTCCAAATTCATGGAATTAAGGTTCGTAGAGGTTAAAATTCCTCACCACAGGGTTGATGGTACTTGAAGCGCCTTGCCGGCTTCCAGAGGTAGGAGCGCAGGCCTATGGAGTGGGCAGGCCTATGGAGTGGGTATTACTCCCTATCCCAGTGGTGTGGCTGATGCCGGGGGCCCTGGTTCCAGTTCAGTTCTGACTTCTTGATGGCACAGGCTCCAGCTCCTCAAGCTCACGCCAGGATAATCAGTGACCCAGGCTGTGGATTCTGGGCAAGAGTTCTGAGCTAAGCCCCCCTCAGAACTATGTTTTTTCAAGGTCATTACTGTTTGAAACCACAAATCATCAACATGAATGTCTAATTTCAAGCCACTTCCATATATAGGAAAAGTCTTTTTTTTTTTTTTTTTTTTTTTTTTTAATTTGAGAGAGAGAGAGAGCACAAAAAAGCAGGAGGTGAAGCAGAGGGATAACCATAATTATGACAAGCAGGGAACCTGAAGTGGGACTTGATCCCTGAACTCTGGGACCATGACCTGAGTCGAAGGCAGACACCTAACTGACTGAGCCACCCAGACACCTGGGGAAAAGGGTTTATTGCTCATGTTTGTTGAAGTAATACTTCACTACGAGCCAGGCACTGTACTAAGGATTCTACGTGGACTGTACTCAATGCTAGTACTGAGAAACCACCCACCTCCACCCTTTTCTAACTGAAGAAACTAAAGCAAGGGATAATTTAAATAACTTGGCCAAGGTCACAAGGCTGGTGAGTCAGGATTCGAACTCAGGGGGCTGCCAAGACTTGCCCTCTAGACCACTACACCGGCTCTTTTGTAAAGCACCTGTTCTAACGCCTGGCAACACACTTACTGCAAGACAGCCATGAATGCAGCCCAGATTTTGACAGGACTGGAAAACTTTGTGAGAAGTTGGAGTCCACGCCCACACCCCTCAAATTAGGGAACAAAATGGCTAAAGAAAAAAAAACCAAACCAGATGTAGAAATTACAGTTTTTCATATATTGTAAGATTCCATTTGCCCTTCAGGCAACTACACTTACTTAGACTCTTTGGAAACATCTTACACATACATTCGGCAGTTCTGTTTTTCCGGACTGACTTCCCTTTCATGCTCACTCCAATCACAATACTTAGATTTTCCAAATGATGAGGCCAAAACCATACATGTGGCTATGAGACAACAGCTCTTTTCAAGTTCCCGTCTTTTGTGTCCTCTTAGCTTTTAAGTTCTGATGCAAAAAAGCACTTTTGGCAAGGCAATTATTAAGTAGTTGTGCAGCAGAGACAGAACCAGGGATGAAAATACTGGTCAATTTACTGCAGCAAGGACTATAAAGCACAATTATCGGGAGACTTTCAGGGGCGTGACCTAAGAGGATAATGTGTATGAAACATGACAGCAGGGTGCTATTTCAAAATCAATATTTAATGGGCATTCCATCAAAATCAAGCAGAATCACATTTCAAAAGTCATATATGAAGTCTTATGCATGTGAGTGTGTATACCCACGTGTGAGCATATGCACACACACATGCTTTTTCTTTTTAAGGTGCATTTTCAAGTTTTATTTGGGCTTCACGTCTTCTAGGTTGCCTCAGGTGTTCCTGCAGGTACAATTAGCCTAGAACTTCTAAGGCTGAAAGCTTCTCATGCACTGAAAGATAAGACCCTCACAAGACTGCACATGGTGGCTCCATCAGAAATTCCGAAAAGCCGTATGTAACTTCAGAAAACTTAATATCAGCCACGAAAGACATTTTCAACGTAACATTTAGGCACTCTATACTTTGGAATAGCCACAAAATATTCCGACGAGAGTTAATGCACTTTGTGATGATGTCTACTCGAAGGTAATTCTTAATTAAAATCTGTAATTATTAAATAACATTTTAAAATCAGAGTCCATTCCATTCGGATAATGACAGTGAACCATTTGCAGCATTGTGTTTTAGTTCAAAGATGCTAAACTACTTCTATTACTGAGCCTGGTACTCATCTCTCACGGTACCTTTTTTTTTTTTTTTTTTAAACAGAAGAACCTATAACATTCACTGATAAGCATCTTCCCCCTTTTCCTGCTAATACCCAAATAAGAATGCCCCTATTCAACTTTAAAGGTATTTTTTGTATTCTCTGCAGCAATTGCTTTCTTAGCAAGCAAAACTTTAGCAAATGGGGGGGCTTCCTGAAGATCAGGAAACATCAGCTAAGTAGCCCTCACTGATTCTTAGGCTGAGTTCATTTCCAGGGTCACTTTGTGGCTAAGTATGTTGTTCTATCCTTTTGTTCCTACAGTTTGTGCTGCTAGAATGACTGGTATGGAGCCAAGGGGAAGGATATTTAAATCTGTCACTCTGCTTTTGCACAAGTCCAAGGCCACCCACACCTGGTCTAACCTGAGGGAAAACTTACTGATCTCTGCAGACTGGTTCTGGGGCTTCTATCTCCTTGTCTGAAGACTGAAGAGAGGCAGTGATGCCTGCCTGCTGAGATGCCATTAACTTCAGCTGAACTTCCTGGACTTGAATATAACCTAGCATGGTTAGAATTCAGAACGTTGATGCTAATTGTTCCTGTGGAGAATAAGGTGCGTTTGCTCAGTGGTACACATTTATGTAGCCAAGAAAACAATCAGAAAGTCTTCCAGAATTTTCAGATTACAGTCTGCAAATTGACTCATCATAATCATCAATGACTAGCTTATAAAGATCTACCCAGAGAAACAAATTTGAGACTTATCTGACTCTAAGTCGTGCAGAAAAGAGCACAATAATTTCCCATAGGAGAACAGGGTGTTTCATCATGGGGAGCAGGGGTAAGTTAATTACACTCCTAATGTTTTCTGGCATACTTGAAGAGACAATTAGCATGAGTAAATCACGAGTGAGATGACAAGTTGGTTAACATTTGTGTCTGTTCGTGAGAAAACATGTGAGCTTGCTGTTAAGCCTCTGAGTGAGTGGGGATGGGCAGAGAAGGGCACAGGAATGAGAGGTGGTTAACTTCGGGTTCAGCAGAGATAATCAGAACCAGTTACTACTAGTGGCTAAACATGGACGTGAGATGCAAATCAGGTAAGACTCGTTCAGTTCTAGAAATTCACCTCACCAAGAGTCGATGGTTGGTTTGGGCAATTCACGTGAAATCTAGCCATCTCTCCCGCCCGAGCAAGGATGGTGAGGTGATAAATGAAGATGAATTCTAGTGGAGGCTGCTTTTCATCCTCAAAGCTTCATCTTTCTATGGATATTCTACAGCATCTATCTTGTGATTAGGACCCGAGGCTCAGGACAGCACAGTTAAGATTACAGTCCCTTTCTGGCGTTTTAGAATGGCCACAGCTTGCTCATGAGTAACACATTCCAGCGTCTCGCCATTAACAGCTAAAATTTGATCGCCTCGCTTCAACCGGCCGTCGTCTGCAGCTGCTCCCTACAAACAAGAGACATTCCAGTTTAATCCAGGATCAAGCAGTTCACAAATAATATTAACATTATGGTGTGCTTATGAAAAGAGCAACTTTGCAAACTACCAGTTAAAGTTATTGCTAGGTAATGTTTTTAAACCAGGAAAATTAAGAATGTGGGATGTGTTATTTGAATAATGGTTGGATAGTAACCATAATTATGCACTGTTTAGGTAACATACTAGTAGAAATGTACTAACATTCACGTTTCTTTTAATACAGGCAGGACCTTATTTCAATATTCAGAACGGAAGGGAATTTGAATGTCATATTCACGAATATGTAATATACTGACAAAGGTAGAACTGAATCTGGTGTTAGTCTTGTTCCCAATGCCATCATTCTATAGGGTTCCTATTGCATTATTAAGATAGCAGCACTGATGTGATCTGTCAAAAGTAAATGTGGCCTCAGGGCGCCTAGCTGGCTCAGGCCTGGCTCTCGGCCTGTTCTAAGGAGTGAATGTATGGCACATGGTATTTACTCAATAATGGTGGTAGCATAAAAAAATGAACTCTCATGGTGATCGAGCTCATGTTTTCAGATTTTGCAGTCTCTGAAAAGCTGTTCCCTAAATGTTCGGGATTGTTGTAGTCGTTAGGCCAATTTCTTGTTGGCTAATGGTGAAATCTGGATGGCTGCTGGGAAGACTGAGACCTGAACTTGGCTTTGACTTTGAAGTTTCCAACCAAACACCTGAAAGAAAATGGAAGGTTCTGACAGCCCGTTAATCAGACGGAGTCCCCAAAGTCCTACACATTCAAACTGTCTGTCATGTTTCTTATTTCTGGAGGGGAAAAAAGACCTCAATGGGCCAAATTAATTTCTTAGTTGAGCAACAGAATTTTTAAAAGAAGCTTAGGGACAAGGGTCCCATAAAAACCCACACCCTGTGGGCATCTGAGATCCAGATACTTGAGAAGACAAACATTTTTAAGAATAAATGATTGTTGTTGGGTGCCTGGCTGGCTCAGCCTGTGGAGCATGAAGCTCTGGATCTCCGGGTCATGAGTTTAAGCCCTGCATTGGGGTGTGGAGATTACTTAAATAAATGAACTTTTAAAAAAGTGTTTGTTGTTTAAAAGCGTGTAAAAACATATAGCTATATTTCCTACCCTCTCTAAATTCTTATGAGGAAATGTTTAGCTTAATGTCAAAATTCATTTTTAGAAAGATCTCACCATTAAAAAAAAAAACAAAACACCACCCAAAGATCTTTTGCCAGGTTTTGATTTATTGATTCTCTAAAGAAAACTGACAAATTTGGATATACTGGTTCACTCAAACAAATGAAAAAAAAAAGTCATCAAAGGACATATTATAATAAATGCTATGGAACTATCTAAAAATAATGATAGTAATTGTTTGCAGTGGAATGTTCTTTTAATTGAGACTGAACAAGTAGGCCATTGGCTAGGGCTTTAGAACTTTTTTTTTTAATTCGAGCTTTTCATTTTTAAGTGTGCCTCACTTTACAAACAAAGGTCCGTTCCTTAAAAAATAAAACATATCAAGGATGTCCAATATTTCCTCTCAGGTTATCACCTGCAGAGGTGCTTTCTAAATGAGCACTGTCAAGAAGGATCTTTGAAAAGAGATTCTGTGGGATCTTCTGTGCATTCATTGGCCCCACTACCTTGTCCCACCGTGATCTGATGGTGGTTTCTTTTCAAAAACCCACCAGCCAGGCACGGCCATTTCATCCTCAGTTGTATGTTCTGCTGACCTGACTGAAGGTGCCTGGCTCTGGTCCCACAGTCTATGGGTTGTCTAGATGGGTACTGCTGGGGTGACTGCTAAGTCTGGGCTGCAGGCCAAAGGGCCTGAGAAACTAACCAGTCCTCTGAACATAGCAGACCCACCTACAGTTATGTAGTGAGCAGGGCATTACAGACATTCTGGAAGGGCTTTAGAGAGGCCAATGCAGGGAAGGAGAATGTGTTTTTCACTATTCTTATCTACATAGCTGGCTCTTTGAAAACCAAAGTATAATAGTTCCTCAAAGAATAATTATCACAACTACTTACGGTGCTGTCTTAGGAAAAGGAGGGTCTGTAGGTAGCTTACTACCTTGGGAATTATCAGACTGGGGCAGTGCTGCTATCCAGAATGTTTCTGATCTGCCCTCCTTCTCCCCTTTTGCCCATCACCAGGTCAACAGATATGTGGTTTGGGAATCACACATCTTCCTAACAGGCACCCTAACAAATTGGAAACAGGTGGGTAAATCTGTAGCTCCCTAACATGTTCCGAAAGCAAATGCCAAGTGACTTAAGGATTATATCCGGTCATGGTTAGGTTCAATTAACCAGTGATAAGAGCTGCACTTGTTATTTAGTGTATAATGGAGCTTTCTAGAAGGAGTAGCTATATTATTTCTTCTCTTGAAGACCTTTATTTCCTTAGGAAAAAGCAGTAGGAGGCCACTGGGTCACTTAATAAACAAATGACTGTGATAAAACCCATGAAGAATAAAGTCGTGCTGTCAATACTAAGTCCTTTTCAGAAATCTTAAAAATTTAGAGTAAAATTGGATTCCAACTTTAAAAAATCACAATAAAGTTAAAAACAACTTATCTAAGGGGCGCCTGGATGGCTTAGTTGGAAGAGCGTGCGATTCTTGATCTTGGGGTTGTGAGTTCAAGCCCCACAATGGGTGTAGAGATAACTTAAATGAATAAACTTAAATACTAATACTAATAGTAATACTAATACTAATAAAAACCTATCCAAGAGCCATCTAGAGGCAGCAGTAGGAATGTACACTGTGACCTATGTGTCAAGGATGTATTGGTATATTTAGCTCCTGAAGAGCACTATTACCCAGCTGGAATCTAATTTAGTGCCCTGATCCTGCAAGTACTTTAGCAGAGGACTGGAACAGAGAGAGCAACTTCAGCTAATGCATCCTGAGGTTATTGGTGATGGATGGCCATTAATGCCGCACTGACCCAAGGCTCATACAGAGCTTTCCACCACAGCCTTCTGCTGCCATCTTTTCTTGAAGGAGAAAGCCAAACTTTTGTACTAGCCCAGAATAATACTTCCAAGGCCAGCTTCCAAACAGTGCGGCACTGCTCCTTATGTTGTGTTCTTGAAAGAAGACACTCTTTAAGATCTACTTCTGTAATAGGGTCCAAAGAAAATGACATTTCCTGGAACTCCACTCTTAGAAGAGGACTCTTCCTTCACTAGTCTGGTGTGGGAATGTCCTACACAAGTTTAAAATGAAAAGCATATAAGCACACACCCAGCTATACCTACAAGTAAGCAAAACAAAGCACTTAAAAAAAAATCTCACCTAGGTTAAAAAAAAAAAAAGTACAGTAAAAAGGAAAAAAATACCTTTGCAAATATAGTCTTGACATAAATTGGCAGGTCTCCATGGGGACTTCCATAACCCCCTACAATACTAAACCCCAATCCTTCAGAGCCTTTCTCCAAAGTAATAATCTTAGGTGGAGGTGTTCTGAAAACACAATGCACGCTGTTTAATTCGAGAATAGATACTGAGAGGGAATTTCATTTTAATGGAAGAACACAGATTTGAGAGAGACTTTCACACTGAGAAACTATGAAGGCCAGTTTATGAAATCAGAACTCTCAAGAAAGCAATCTAGAAATGTACTTTTTACATTTCCCGTGTCACGCGGGACCGATGAGCAGTACGTCTTTAATGACTTGAGGTTTTAGGGGTTTCTCTTTCATAAAACGCACTGTTTTTTAATGAAAAAGTCACGATCCAGAGGTTGTCACAACACCCTTCCATATGCTTCGTTTTTTAACTTCGACACTCACTGTTTAAAAGCTGAATGAGACTGTCTTTATTTATTTTTTTTTTTTAAGATTTTGTTTATTTATTTGACAGACAGAGATCACAAGTAGGCAGAGAGAGGAGGAAGCCAGGCTCCCCGCGGAGCAGAAAGCCCGACTCGGGGCTTGATCCCAGGACCCTGGGATCATGACCTGAGCTGAAGGCAGAGGCTTTAACCCACTGTGCCCAAGACTGTCTTTATATCCTTAAAGAAGGTGTGGGGACAGAGAGGTGGGGGACCGCTTAGCTCAGTGGCAGACTGCCACTCCGTAGGTGGGCTTCTATGTAGGATAGGGGACCCCAGCCCGAGAGCTCAGTACGCTGCTGCTCCTTTTCTGCCCCAGTAGCCTCACACTCCTCGCCCTCCACTTCCTGTTAGGGGACCCAGGGTGGGAGCTCAGTCTTCAAAGCCCCCCTCCAAGGTGATGTGATGCTTTCCCTTGGGAGAGTCAGCTGATCCTCCTTTGTGCCCCCTCTGCAGTGGGGCCAGGTATCCATGGCGCCCTCACTGTACTGGGGCGGGACTGCTGAGTCGTCTTTCTGCTCTACCGGACTACGAACTCCTTAAGTCACTGTCATCTGAGTGTTCCCAGCTGTCTGGAGTGTGCTTGTCACAAAGTCAGGATCATGACTGTGTCCGTGAGAAGTGAAATCCGGGAGAAAAGAGAGAAACCAAGGAGAAGCAAAATGGATAAAGACAGTCTGTTTCCAACCGGTAATTTAGATTTTCAAAGTTTTGTCCAGTGTGGAAGTCTTCTCTCTTAGAAATAACATGGCTAAAAATTAAATGATCTATGCAGGCTCAAGTAGTTTCAGCTTAGCGAATGCCAATTTCTTATTCCCAGATGCCCTTGTCCAAAGGGTAAAAACCAAAAGGAACCCCAGGATGCCGGTGCCTGCCATCTTACTTGCGGAGTTTTCATATTACATGCTGGTTGCCTCACTTGGTTTGTGGCAACGTGCACATCTGAGAGGCAGAGCCATGTCATACAAACTCAGACAGTCATGGATTTAGAGCAATTTGCAAAACTGGGACATAAGCCCACCTTTGCATATGCTGTTCTGTCCAACTAGAATATTCTTCCCTCTTCTCAGTTTTGCCAGGCTTCTGTTTGGGTGGTTTTTCAGTTGCCACACCGATACTGGTTGTTTGTTGATGTACTTACTGGTTGTTTACAGCAGGCCATCCACAGCAACTGCTGAACGTTTATGTCCTATAAATCGTTAACTCTTCTGAATGCCCCTCTTGCTTATTCCAATTCTTTTAAAACTAAGCAGAAGCACCTGTGTCTCCAAGGACACACCCTAATAGAGTTGTGCCCCCACCTCCATGGTTTCACAGGACCTCGTGTTTACTTAACTTTCTCAGGGAACCTAGCTCCCCTATACTTATCAACTCTTACAAACGTGGATTTAGGGGCCTGTTTTCACGATTCTCCCTAATTCCTTGAGGACTGGGGCAATGCGTTCACCTGTGGTTTTTAAGTTTGAATCCTCAGAACCCAGTACTTGCACAGTGTCTGGCCTTTGAAAGGTGCTCAATACAGACATGTTGAAATAATGATGAATTATCCCTTACGGCCACATGGTAATGAGGTCATGAATAAGGCTCCCCATTTCAGGGCTTCATGGCCTTGTAAGTACTCAGTGTAAGTACACCGGGCAGACATGAATTGGATTCATGGTTCCTCCTCCAAACACAGCCCCTGTTTCTAAGGATACTGAAATAGGAATCTAGACGTCCAAAGTCATTGTTTTACAGCTGGGCACTGGGAGCCACCAAATCATTAGAGACTGTCATAATTGTACTGCTTCACAATTAGAGACCTGTTTTCAGGAGATGGGGGGACGTAACTCTACTCCTCAGTTGGCAACATCAGATGGGAGCTTGCCTCCCTTTATCTCACATTTTCAATTTATTTTAATTTACTTTCATATAGAAGACCGATAAAAAAAAAATCTCTGAATGTTAACAGTGGTTGGATTCTAAATAATTTATAGATTCTTTTACGGCAGTGGTTCCCAACTTGCCAGGAGCTGTGGTTCCTAGCAAAGGAACCAAGATCACAAGGGCAGCTCTGCATTTCCATAGGGACATCAAAGGATGCTAAAGGTACATAACTACACTTCTATAATAGGGTCCTGATCCTCCCCCCAGCCCCAGAATAGGGCCACTGTAACTTGAAAATATCTTAATTTTATGTATTTGTCATATTTAAAATTTTTTATTAACATATAATGTATTATTAGCCCCAGGGGTGTATCTATCATGTTTTAACAGCATGCATTTATTCCTTTCATAATGAGAAAAAAGTAAAATGAACTTAAGTTTAATATTCTTTCCTCAAGAAAAACAAACTCAAAGGTATGATTTAAGCTGAAAGTACCAGGAGAAAATTCGAAATGTATGTGATCATCAGAGCTTTCCAGTGAAACATTCAGATCCGTCAACAAGCCTTTACCGAGCACGTACTGGCAACCAGGCACTGGCGGTTCTGAGAGGCGTAAGTTTAGGCAGCATTTCTGAAAGTACAGACCCTCTGTCCACCTGTAGCAAAGCTGTCCTGGGGAACCCGCTGTAGACCCCCTCATCAGAATCTCTGAGAACGGAGCCGGAGAAATTAGCCATTTTAAAAATGCTCCTTAGACATTTAATATACACATTCTAGGGTGAGAACCACTGCTTTCGTTAACGGCAATGACTGTTTTCAATGAAGAATGCCAGCAAGTATAGCACTAGGATTACTCTCAGAACAAGATTTTAGCTTAGAAAACACAGTCCCTGCATAATAAAGCAGGGTACCTCTGGGGGTCAATCTGTGATTTGTTAAGGAAGAAGGCACTGTGTCAAAGTGACCGGATCAGTGTGTGCACAGGCCCTCTCTTAGAAGTTCTACCTGGAACCAAGTCTGGTGAGAAATCAGGAAACCCTGGTGCGTTCCTGGAGGAGAATCTCCAGGAGTTAGAAAAGGTAATGCATACCTCCCCCTCTTCTTTAGAGAGCACATTCTAGTTTCTGGAAAAGGTCTCACTGAGCCTTGCCCATACATAGAATAGGCACTCTGCACCTAGAATACTCACTCTGTGTCTTCTGGGTGGTGTTCAGCAGTGGGAGAACCATGGTGGTAGCTTGGAGACATGTGTTCAAGCTGAGTTGCTATGGCGCTTATATTGGTATCTGCTACAACCTGGGGGAAAACCAGAACAGGAAAATCCACTGTAAGTCAGGGGAGAATTAGAGAAATCATACTATACTCAATGGTTGGATCTCATACTCATCTGATTCAACCTATCTGCAGCATTTGGAAACAAATGATTATTCTCTCAAACTTTTTTTTTTTAAAGATTTTATTTATCTGACGTAGAGTGAGCAAGCACATAAGCGCATAAGCAGATGCCCTGCTGAGCTGGGAGCCCGATGCAGGGCTCAATCCCAGCACCGGGGGATCATGATCTGAGCCAAAGGCAGACGTTCAACTGACTGAGCCACCCAGGCGCCCCTCAAGCTGTTTTCTTCATTTGGTTTCCTTTGGTTTCCACGACACCAAGCTTTACTAGTTTCCTCTCTACCTGCTTCCTTTTCTTCTTATCTCCTCAACCTCTAGGGGAGTGCCACAGGGCTCCATCCTTGAGTTTCTTATCTCTCTCATCTAACCCTCCCCTTAGTTAGCTCATCTTATCTCATCTCCCCCTACTGGATTGTCTAAATACCATCTATGTAATGATAATTCCGGAGCCCCGCATCTCGAGCACCACCTCTTAACTCCCTGCTCTCTCTAGCCAATCACCAGTTAGTGGGATGTCCAACAGGTGTGTCAGAGCTTACCTGTGCAGCACTGAGCCCACCCCTGTGACCTCTGTCTGTTCTTGTGGACTTCCTCATCTCAAGTAACTACAACTTCATTCTTTATTTCAGCCAAATGACCTGGTGTCCTTGACTACTCCTCTCACAATCCGTATTCAGTCCTCATAAAAATTCTATTGGTCTCCTCCCCACCCCACCTTCCTTCCTTTTCAAGGATTTTATTTATTTGTCAGAGAGAGCGCACACAAAAGCAGGGAGAGGGGCAGAGAATGAAGGAGAAGCAGACTCCCCAGTAAGAAGGAAGCCAGACATGGGGTTCAATCCCAGGACCCTGGGATGGAAGCCAGACATGGGGTTCAATCCCAGGACCCTGGGATCATGACTTGAGCCAAAGGCAGACATTTGACCAACTGAGCCACGTGGGTGTCCCTCTATTGGTCTGTCTACAAAATCCTCTCTTGCCTGGAGTTCTACAAAAGACCCCTTGCTGTTCTTGCTTCAGCCCCTCTCCGGCTCGCTACAGAGCAGCTAGAATGGTCCTGTTCAAACACAGCAGGTTATTACACTCCTCTGCTTAAAACTGTCCAAAGGGAACCCAGCTCCCCAGGGTCACAAACTTAAGTCACATACACGTTCAAATAATATTTGGCGAATGAAAGAAGGAATGACTGATTCTCTATTACCTGTTTTTTTTAAGATGCTTCCAAACAATAGTATATGACACATAAACTTGCACTTTCTATTTTTCATCTGCAAATAACATTCCCAAAAGCATGCAAAAGAAATACAGTATGCCTCTCACAGCTCATAGTAGGACATAGAATGAGGTTCTTGAGTTCCGTTTCTGCCATTAAAATGGTGCTGTGCCTGAATTTCAGCTTCTCAGCTGTTGAATGGGAATCATAAAAGCCTGCCTTGTGTGCTTAGCCTGGAGATGTCTTCCATCTCTATGAGTTCAGAGCTTCTCTCTCCAGAGCTCCTGGGCTACTCCTGCTTCTGATCTGTGGTTCTTCTAGATTATAATAATCTGTGCACAAGTAGGTATGGAGTGGGGGACTTGACACCAATGCAAAGGAACTGGATTTGACTGCAGTTTCAGAATGAGCCAATAGAGGGCGCGGCTGCCCAAACTGCCGGGTTTAGCTGCATCTGTCATTAGAGTTTTTACTACGAGGAAAGCAACAGGCCCACCCTGGTGAATCAGAACACATTTTGGTGAAGTATCCTATTCTGGGGGAAAACACAGCTGTGTGCAAGTTATGAAATCTTCTGGAAATACCATCATATATAGAATGGCTGAATGAACTGGGCTAATATTTAGGATGAGACAAGGAGGAAAAGATGGATTCGTCTTGACCACAAGAGCCCCTCCACTTTCCACCAGCCCTTTTGGTACTCTTCCCACAGCAAGTGTATCAGAGAAGTTGTCTCTGCCTATGACATCTGTAATCTCAACCTACACCATCTTCATGAACCACTCCACCCTGGCAGCCCTCCCCATCACCAGAACTAAACTTCTATGACCCATTTTCTGGCCTTTCTCCTGCTGCTGGGGCCCACTTCCCCACCTCTTGGTTATTCTACTCACCCCTATGGCTCAGTCCTGTGTCCAATTCCCACATGCACACTTAGGGTCTAGGTGACAATGTATATACTCCCATAGCTTTAAATGCCACAAGGTGCTGAAAATTCCCAGCCTAGTCTGCTGTATCCAATTGCCAAGTTACCATCTGCATTAGCTAATTCAAACTCTTGATCCAACAACCATTTTGCAATTCACTTTCCTTCTAGTTTTCCCTCTTAGTAGATGGTAGCTCTGACCACCTGACTAAAATGTGCTAGGTGTAAGACTGGAAATACTTCATTGCTGACGGGTGACCACTGTTGAACTAGAAAGGATGCCGGGAGGCTAACCACACAGAATGCTTACTCTCTACCCACCAGCTACATCCCTCTCTCACCTGCCATATGTAATCCACCACCAAGTCCTCTGGAGTCTACCTCTAACGTACTTCTCAAATCTGCTTCCTTTTTGCCCCTATGGTGACCATTCTAATTAATTCATCATTATCAGCTGCCTTGAACCAGCGTCGCATTCATTCTCTTCTAATCTCTCTTCTATACAACAGCCAGTTATCTTTTTCAATATAAAATGGATAAGGACACTGCCCTGCTTAAAACCTTTCAGCGATCTTTGTACTTGGAATAAAATTCAGACTCCCTAATTATACACACAAAGATCCTCCCTTAGCCTGCTCCTCTAATCCTGTCAATCTCTTTCCATTCCAACCACACTCCAGCTCTCTCTACGCACAATCTTAAACACCACCCCCCCCAAAACCCACCAGTGTATCAGCTTACAAGTCACTTTCCTTATATTAGCCTTCTTTACTACTGGTGCTTAAATTAATTTCTCCTGTTTTCCTCTCCATGGCACTCGCAAAAAATTTCTAACAAATTATGATGATACGTATTTCCGTGACTGCTAACGGGTCTCCCCTACCTCCCCACCACAGGATCCATGAGGACAAGGACTGCTTCTCAGTGTTAACGTGCCTGGCACCTAACAGTTGCTTAATGAGTATTTGTGGAGTGAATGAATCCAAAACCTTCCTAAGGAATAGGGATTATGGGACTCAATTTTCTGAATTTCCACGGAACAGAGTGAGACATAGAGGCTACAAGGAGATTGGTTTTGGGTCCTTTTAGGAGAGAAAAAACTCTAGTCAGGCCCTTCCAGAACAGAATGGCACAGCTCGTTGGGGCATGAGCATCCCATCCCATTTGAAGCTAGCACTCAGAGGCTCAAAATCTATTAATTTGGGATACAGTAAAGGATGTTCCTGTACTTGGTGGGAATTTGGACTTATGTTCTCAGCTGACCATGAAAACAGACCATCCATTATGGGGCTGAGGAAGAAAGTCAGTAAAATATTGTTTTCTTTAAGGTACCTCAGGATTTGATGGCAACTTCCTCCTTTCTTTGGTTTGTTCAGTCTCTAACAGCGCCATGACTACTGAGATCAGCTGAGCACTTACTTTACACTAAGTGCTCTCCTGAGTCCCTATAGAGGTAGGTGCCACTATTATTCCTGCATTTTAAGATTTTATTTTTTTTTATTTTTGACAGAGAGAGACCACAAGTAGACAGAGAGGCAGGCAGAGAGAGAGAGGGAAGCAGGCTCCCTGCCGAGCAGAGAGCCCGATGCGGGACTCGATCCCAGGACCCCGAGATCATGACCTGAGCCGAAGGCAGCGGCCCAACCCACTATTCCTGCATTTTAGACAGATGAAGCTGGAGCAGAGAGCTTAAGGAACTTTCCAAGGTCAGTTAAGGAGGGAGGGCTGGTTTCATTTCCAAATCATTTCACTCCAGAATCTTGTGCTCTACATCATATGTAGTGTGAGGGTATAGACCTGGTCTTGGACCCTCACACCAGGCAAACTGACTCACTCTGCATATAATTAAGTACAGTCTAGATATGGTGTCAGGGAGGGAGAGAGCCAGAGAGAGAGTTGAACAGGCAGTTACAAACAGAGCAGATCATCATGGGGTGTGGTTGATGACAGGCCGGGAAACTCCCTGGCTCTTACAAGGTACTATAAGAAAAGGGCTCAGGGTGTGGAAGATAGGCCATGGATGTTCCTAGAGGATTTTTTTTTTTTTAAACTCTTGGAAAAAGAATACACTTTCAAGAGTCCATGAAATCGGCCATATAAATTGTGAAACCAAAGTCACAGTTCTACTTGGGCAAAAATCAATTTTTATAAAAATCTAGCTAGAAAATATAAAAACACTTCTAACAGTACCGTCTTATAGAAAAACTCATATCCCTCTAAAATCTAAAGGCCTCTTGCTTACCCTCAACCCTGAAATAAAAAGGGCTTCCCACCCATGGATGATATTAAATCCCAGGGGCTTACCTAGGATCCTTGGAGCTGTTCAAGCTCCTTTTTTGTAGGAGTGGAAGCCAAGAAGCTAGATGGGAAATGTGAAGGATTTTCACTGATGGCTTAGTCTTTTGTAGGAAGCCAAGGAGAACATAAACCCATCACCCCCAGAATGACTCTATAGCCCCAAGGTATTGCATTAACCATCTTGCTCTCGGAGTTGATTGGTCTTCCCAGGGACTGATTCAGTGGAAGATAATAATCTGATCTCAGAAGGGTATATATGTTCAGCTGGGTACAAGTCCAAAGAGATGTGGCCTATGAGTCTTAGTTCAGCCCTCCTTCTGAAGTATTCTTCCCCCATCAACACCAGGGACTGAACAACATGGAGGTAAGGCTGGGTAAAGGTCTATTTATGGGTTTTGAAGATGGGGGAAGGCAAACAGACTAATAGGTTTCCTCATTTTTTTTTTTTAAAGATTTTATTTATTT